TAAATTGTAAAGAGACTGTTCACCACTTGTCTCTGTTTGTATGCCCCCCCCCCCCACCCCATTAAATTGTAAAGAGCATCATCAACCTTTGTCTCTGTTTGTGTGCCCCCCCCCCAATTAAATTGTAAACAGCATCATCAACAGCTGTCTCTGTTTGTATGCCCCACTCCCCCCATTAAATTGTAAAGAGCATCATTAACAGTTGTCTCTGTTTGTATGCCCCACTCCCTCCCCCATTAAATTGTAAAGAGCATCATCAACAGTTGTAAAAACATTGTGCAAACAAAAACACCAAACAGTTTTGGACGTCAAATATAGTTTTATTTTGAACCCACTTGAGTAAAATAACATAGAATAAAGAAGTTCAGAGGATAAATCCAATGTACATCAGAGCTTTTACTTGTTCGAGTCTCACAGCCAACAATACAAAACTTTGCATATTTCAAGGTGAATTCTTGAGTTATCAACAAACATTCAACAGATGAATAATCCGTAGACTTCAAAATAACTCCATAACATTGGTTGGTGGTATTATTATGATTATGTTCTGTCAGTTGGCTCATTCCCGTCATGGCACTCACTCTCATGGGTTGTAATCAGGGGAACACATCATATTATCTTATAACAATCAGACACATTAAATGATGGACACATGAGAGGACTTGGTGTACCCTTGGTGTACCCTGTGCCCAGACATTGGAGCCCGCAAAAGTCATGTCCTAAATGGGCATTGAGAAAGTCTACCGCACCATGGCTAATACCAAAAGTGTGTCCTTCAAAAAGTCACTTAGTTTCTAAGAGTTTATCTCGACTTGTCTCGAACCTGAGCTGAAGCAGAGGTTCTCAGGTGCAAGTGGGCGCTGGTGACCACAGCCAAGTGTTGCCGTAGTTAACGAGGGTTGGCCTCTGAGGTAGCTTTAGTCTGACAGGGGCCTTGAATCCAACAACTTTGAGAAGCACTGAGATACAGCGACATAGTCTTGTTCAACAATTCATAATGCCACAATTGTATTGATTTTCGTAGTCTTTCAACAGACACCTAAATCAACACATTAAAGAGTGAAGATTTTAAATTTAACTCAAGAATGTATGACAGCCTCTATGACCCGTCAAGTTTGTATGGCATTTTAATATCTGTGGATTTGAACACAACCATCTATAGAAACTCTCCTGCACTAGGTGAACTAATGAAAAAAATTCTTAAGTTAAAATTAGAACGCAAAATTACTAATATTAATATCAACCTTTTAGCATTATTAGTGTCATATGTTTATAATAAAATATAAAAGCAAAAAAATAAATATAAAAATATTGGCTGATACAAAGCTGAAACTGAACACACCAAAAGAAACCTTGCAGCACACACATGTTCATTCAATGATGTCTAATCAGTTTGTTCTCAAGTCCTTTAAGACAATGCAGTGGGTCAAATCCATTAGTGAACACGTGACAATACGCCACAGCTCATTCACCAGTCAACATGAACTGCCACCAGTTAATGCAAAATCTAAGACTAAAATACAAATTCACGAGTACATGACAAGTTCGAATCAATAAAGTTTGAATTTCTGACACTAATCGTAAACTAAATTTGATTTAAATTATATTTGATTAGTCCAAGAGGTATTATTTTAAAACTCCCATTTTCCAAGTGGGTTGAGGACAGCTTCCACTTACATCTTGTTTTGCATGTGAACTCAGTGCTACACAGCCATGTTCTGTGTTTTGCCATGCAATCCAAAGATGACTGTAAATGTTTGACAGCCCAATCAGCTCAGACACATGTCTGACAGCATAAACCAGAATGGATGGCGTCACTTCTTGTTTGGTGTTTTCACAACTGTATGTTTATAATGGCTATTCATATGAAATATGTTTTAAATGATTGCCCCACTAAATGAACGCACTATGAACAATGTAAGATATAAAATAAAGCCCATAAAGATTATGGTATAGCGGTCCACACAGTTGAACAGGAAATCGAATAGGTCCATTTACAATAAGGGCCTTCAATAGAACTAATGACATGACACAAAACCAAGTATAAAATCAAACGAATATCTTCCCACAATAATAAGTTGATTGATATAAAAATGTGTGTAAATGTAAAGCAGAATTATGTGGCCCAGCAGCCAACAGTGTCCCTTTGTGAGTGGCAAGCAGATGTCTGAACAGTGCATGTTTCAAGAAAAGTGCTTCAAGTTTTATAGGTTACAAGGAAGTGAAGTGAGAATAGATGAAATCTGCAAGAAATAGCTCAATATAATATGTATTCATATATTTATATGTTAAGTCAGCTAAATGATGCTTTTAAACCAAAGCACGTGAGTTATAAGTACCCTGTACACAAAACTATAATCTTAGTCCTTGATAGACATGAATGCTCCCCTATCTACAATCCCTGGCAGTTTAACACATTTTCTGGGAAATAGTAAACAAAGCATATTGTGTCCTAGTTTTAAGCTAGCAGTAAGGTATTTGTCGCTAAAGGGTGAACAGAAAGCTTCTTTAAATGTGTTTGAAGAAAAATGTATCGAATTATTGAAAAACTACACTTTTAGGGTAAATGCTTACTTAAAAGAATGAATAAAAATGAATCAAATTGATGCTGGAAATTTTTTGGTCTAAATGACTGCTCTGAATTAACAGCAGCTTTTGAAGAGATGCTGAACGAATATCTCCTCACCACCAAGGGACTCAGATGGCGGCCAACCAGTATAAATATAGATTATGCCATAACATGAAATGCTCCATTTGAATTCAAGTTCTTGGCAGCAAAATACTTAAATATCACAACAAGAAAATATGCATGTAACAGTTTGATAGTACAACAAAATTATTGTATTATGACAGCTGGCAAATCTTAATTGAGCTGGGAGTGGTTTAAAGCACCATCTAGCAGAGAGACAATGAAGTGCAGCGTGGCCTGTTTATTATTTTCACTGGTTAATAGACTCTGCAGCTTCATAGAATCAATGAGACTATTTCAAAATCATGAAATTATCGATGTTTTTTCCCCCCCGTTTATTTGAATCTTACTTTCGGATATTGGAATCCATGACAGAGAGTGAATAGACATCATAAATCACATATAGATACTGTATGCGCTGCATTCCTTTTAATGGCATAATGTTATGATGTGTAGGTAGTCTGGCAGCGGTAGTCTAAGTAATATCAAATTCTATAATATGTGATAGTCAAGAGAAGCAGAAGGAACCTAATCCGATAGAATCCCAGAAACAAAACCAGGAACATGTGAAAACTATAATAGTTTGTCAACTAGTGGTGGGGACAGATATTACAAAAAATGTGTATTATAGTTGAATCTCTTTGTGCAAACCTTTTAGTGATCATTTAATACAAACAAAAATCAATGAATATTTGTAAGAGTTTATATTACTTTGAGGATACAGGGCCTATGTTAACTTTAGTATTAAAGGTGATATAGTTTTCTTTTTTTTTTTTACCTATCATTTTTCATTTCCCTAGAAAATATACACACTATTAGTATGAGTAAATGTATGCATACATGTACATTCTTCTGTTTTTCATTTATTAGAATGGCTGCTTAATTTAATCAATATTCCGTTGACAAATGTGAGGACGATTAACAATGCATACTGTATATTAGTATATAAATCTACGAAATCCCACAATAAATGGACGTCATTGAATGTTCAGTGAATATAGAAAGCACAAAAATATGTAAATAATTACGTCAACATAAACTTCAACAAAATTTTTAAAACTTGGCAATTTTCATAATTTAATTTGTCAAATAAAATTAATTTCACTTCAAAAATTTTTCCCCACCAAACCTATAATTACTTCAAGATTGTGAAATGAGATAAATGTCACATTGACTGACACTGCCACATTATAACATTCAATGTCACATTGGCTGACACTGCCACATGTCACCAAAACAACAATCAACCTGGAATGATAAAGGTTAACATGCCAACTGTTGGCCAAACGTAGATAAAACATTCAATGGATGAAAGTGTCCACTATAAAAACAGATCATTAACACAAAGACACAAAATGTAAACACCCTTTTAACACCCTCTTTGTAAATACCAAGCCCTCTTTATAAGATTTAATTTTTACATATTTATAACTGTATATTTCTCCAGTCCCGTAAGAGCAGTGCTTCATATTCTTATCACCTGCTAGCAAGCCTATACATATTTCAATGACAGCTGGGAGGCATCACAGGGCCACAGGAGAGTAAAACTATGTTCCTTCAGTGTCCAGGATTTCAAACATTGAGATTGAGATATAAAAATGGAAAATGTCAACATCTGTCTCTGGATAGGACACATTGTAATCCTCATGATGGGCCAAGTCAAGTCCAGGACTCACATCACTTAGACAATTTCTTCTTCTTTCTCCTGAGCCTCAACCACACTGTCACTTCTAAGGACGCCAGCCTTCTCACTGATGTTAGCTGTCCTGGGCAGACCTTCACACAACCTGTGGAACAACACACACAGACTTTCAGTGAAGTCAAGGAGCATATTTATATACACATAATTTATTTTGAAACATAATCTCGTTAAAATTTTCTAATTAAAAAAAAAAATTATATAAATAGTGCAATAGATTTAATGATGTGATAAGATAGTGATATAAACTGAAGACTATATAATGATCTAGTTGTGGCTTTTATCACCATGAACCTAATTCAAATTTAGAATACCACCAATGTCTGGGGTGTGATCACTTTAGCTCAAACACCTTAACCCTAAGCTTTCTGGCCAAGGTCAAGGTGCAGTTCCCACCACCACACTATGCACAGTTCTCCAACAACCAACAATGCTATTTATAGAAAGCAATTTAAGCTTGAAATGCAGCCCAGAAACTGTCACTATTGACAAGCTCAGACACATTCTACAAATATAGGATAGTCTCATGTGCTTGAAATACAGTTTTGGAGCTTGGTTGCTGTGTGGCTGTTTCCATAATTCATTTGTAACTATTTCTGAACAGACAGCAGACTATTATTTTCAAGATATCTTTAAGTTATAAATAAAATCATGGAAGTATTTGACACAGATTAAAAAAAAAGGCATGCACAGAAACAAGTTGACAATGGTATTGAAGTGAACCCTGTTTCTGGTCATTAAATATTTAAGAAAAATTTGACTGACAAATGAATTTTAATTGATTTGTAACTATTTCTGAACAGACAGCAGAATATTATTTTCAAGATATCTATAAGTTATAAATAAAATCATGGAAGTATTTGACACAGATTAAAAAAAAAAAAGGCATGCACAGAAACAAGTTGACAATGGTATTGAAGTGAACCCTGTTTCTGGTCATTAAATATTTAAGAAAAATTTGACTGACAAATGAATTAGTGTTATATAGACTTAGGAGAAGAGAAAATTTAATGCAGTTGGATAGGTTAAATAGAAGCAATAGTTTTGGCCACTGAAAAAGTTTTAGGACCGCAAGATACCATACAAATTTTCCCATTGTAAATAGTTGGTATAAATGTTTTAAAAGGTAATATTAACATATATATGGCAATCTTAAAAGTCATATTGAGAAACCAGTCTCACAAGACAAAGCCAACAAATCTCTTACCCTACCGACACTTGCCTACACTTGCTACTTTGTATTTTATAATACATACTAAAATGACAATGTTAATACATACTACACTGACCGTGTTAGTAAATTACGTTTACAACTCATTGATGATTACTTTTATATTCACAACATATAATAATCATATAAATCCTATTATTTCTTTAAAAAACAAAATGATATCACTAATAAAAAAAGTTATTTAGTTAATAGAATTTTCCCAAAACCTGAAGTTAAACATTTTCTTTATTTTAAATTATAAAAATTGTTTTTAAAAAAATAACATTTTCACCCAGAATGAAATTTGTGAAATTATTTTGAAATCACTTTTATCAACACTTTAGTTACAACATAAGCAGTAAAAAGAGCCATAATTTATGAATGAACTTTGGCGGAAAGGGAGAAATATATATTTTTATCTAAAAATGACAAATATGATTTTTTGATTATATTCAAGCGACATATCAATGACAGGATGAAGAAATGTTAAGATAGATGCAGGGATGAAGTCAGGGCTAAAAAACAGTCAAATGACGAGTAAGAATGTATTTTCATTAATTCACTCCTTGCCGACTGGTGCTAAGACAACACCAAAAGAATGAAGCTTCTGCCGAGCCGTCTGTTAATTCACTTCTTGCTTGCCGACTGGTGTTAAGACAACGCCAAAGGAATCCAAGTTTTGCGGATGCGTCTGTAATCTCAAGTTATTTTTCTAATATCCTGACCCAGGTTTCTTTTGGTCTCCTGCAGGTTTGCTTTTCTTGAGAAGTCCATCCTGGGAAGTGAGCTTGGTGACATTCAATCAAGAATAACTTCTTTTTAAATTCTCATCTTTGTGTGGATGCTCAGCTTGTTTGATCTCTACTTGGGTGTCAACATTCTAAATGTCATAACATTCCCAATGTCATTTGTTGAGACCTGGCTCCATAGGGATCTCCATTTGGATGTCAACATTTCAATATCATCTTTTGTGACTTTGCTCTACATCTTTTTAAACATCTTCAAATGGGATATTGTGACTTTGCTCTATAGGTTTTTAAACATCTTCCAATGGGCTATTGTGACATTTCTCTATAGGTTTTAAACATCTTCCAATGGGCTATTGTGACTTTGCTCTAGAGTTTTTTAAACATCTTCCAATGGGATATTGTGACTTTGCTCTATAGGTTTTTAAACATCTTCCAATGGGCTATTGTGACTTTGCTCTATAGGTTTTTAAACATCTACCAATGGGTATTGTGACTTTGCTCTATAGGTTTTTAAACATCTTCCAATGGGCTATTGTGACTTTGCTCTATAGGTTTTTAAACATCTACCAATGGGTATTGTGACTTTGCTCTATAGGTTTATAAACATCTTCCAATGGGATATTGTGACTTTGCTCTATAGGTTTTTAAACATCTTCCAATGGGATATTGTGACTTTGCTCTATAGGTTTTCTGCAAATGTGATATTGTGCTCTATAGGTTTTTAAACATCTGCCAATGGTCTTTTGTGACTTTGCTCTATAGGTTTTTAAACATTTTCAAATAGGATATTGAGACTTTGATCTATAGGTTTTTAAACATCTGCCAATGGGCTACTGCACGTGTGTGTGTGTGAATGGTCCTTAGGTTTTTGACGTGACTTGATCATGCAGACTAGCGTTTTGCGTGAGGCCAAATTGTAGGAGAATCTTACAAAGTGACTAAATATGAAGAATTTCTAAAGCTTTTTTTAAAAAAATCAACGAAGAAATGGCATCCCCATCCTAACAAATGGCATCATCAACGTAACTGCCATTTGAGAATGTCCCCCTCTTCCTGAGACCATGGTGAAAAGTGTGCAGACAAGGTGTAGAACAGCACTTTGCCAGCTCTAGGCATTGCTTTAGGATGAATATGTGATCATTGCCAGAACTCCCTTCCCTAAAACTTGCAGAGTAATTAATGTCTGCATTTAGTTTAGTCCAAATTACGACTAAATACAACATAACAATTAAAATTGTATCTTTAGAAATGGATTCAACTCAAATGATCAGCTCAGCTTTTCAGACTATTAAATTGAGACTATGGTATCGTCCAAGTCTGGGGCACTGCCATACTATTGGCACCCAGGGCATAATAATATTTTTCTTACAGTTACCAGCCATCTGCATGTCACCCCGGAGAAGGTGTGGTGTACACAGTGAACGTTAATGTGCTTTGAAGCCCAGAATGTCAGCATAATTAAACCCGTGATAGTGATGGAACAGCTTTGGCATGCAGTTGTTAGGGCAAATGAAAATGCTATAAAGGTTACCACATCAAAGTGTTTAGGCCAAGAAGTTGGGGGATTCATACTGAAAAGAAAAACATTGAAAGTCAAAGTAAAAGTTCAAAATTGGGATCATGCCACAGACATTTTGTTTCACTGAGTATGTGGACGGTGAGCTTATGATGCAGTTAGTGAGTTATTAGTTTACTGTATACGTGGATGATGAACTTGAGATCTAAAACAAGTCAATCGTAGTTTACTGCATGTGTGTGTAAGTGAATGGTCAATGTGGTGTACGGTTGTTTTGTTTCATTTGACCATTCAAGATTTGATGTACAGTTGCTAGAAGTGAGGAGAGGAGCACAATACAGTGAGCACAGCACAGTGGTATATTAAATTTAATTAAGAGCAATGTGTAAGCTGGTTGTATCTGCCATGAGAATTGTGGTTTGAGAAGCACTCGTATAATGAGAAAAAAAAAACATCAACGATTAAGTTCTTCTGTTAAGTAGGGCTTGCAAGTATGGAGGCATTGTTCAATACATGTGATGTCATACTGGAGCTGGGCCTGGACTACACACTTGAAAATAAAAATAGCATTCAAGATACTTGAACTTGTGAATAGGGGTTTATAATGATCTGCCCCAGGTCTGTTTGATAACGGCCATTTGGCAGACAATAGTTTAGCAGCAAGCACATTCATTTCAATACTGCACCATCTTGGGCGCCACTCTGTATGCCACCATGAACGCCACCATGTACGGAATTTCTTAATTTATCAAAGAGTAAACTTTGTGTCAGTTTTAGCAATAAATCGGCTTTAACGTAGTTATGATTATCAGTTTATATTACAAATGAGTTGTCCTGAAAGAAGTGATGTAAAATTATTGATGTAAAGATAGTGAGATACACATATTGATGTAAGGATATTAAAATAAAGATATTAAAGTAAAGATATTAAAGTAAAGATATTGATGTAAAGATAGTGATGTAAAGATAGTGATGTAAAGATAGTGATGTAAAGACAGTGATGTAAAGATAGTGATGTGAAGATAGTGATGTAAAGATAGTGATGTAAAGACAGTGATGTAAAGATAGTGATGTGAAGATAGTGATGTAAAGATAGTGATGTAAAGACAGTGATGTAAAGACAGTGATGTAAAGACAGTGATGTAAAGATAGTAATGTAAAGACAGTGATGTAAAGATAGTGATGTAAAGATAGTGATGTAAAGACAGTGATGTAAAGACAGTTATGTAAAGACAGTGATGTAAAGACAGTGATGTAAAGACAGTGATGTAAAGATAGTGATGTAAAGACAGTGATGTAAAGACAGTGATGTAAAGATAGTGATGTGAAGATAGTGATGTAAAGATAGTGATGTAAAGATAGTGATGTAAAGATAGTGATGTAAAGATAGTGATGTAAAGATAGTGATGTAAAGACAGTGATGTAAAGACAGTGATGTAAAGACAGTGATGTAAAGATAGTGATGTAAAAATAGTGATGTAAAGACAGTGATGTAAAGATAGTGATGTAAAGATAGTGATGTAAAGTTAGTGAGGTACAGATACTGATGTAGTGGCAAATGTGAAACTAACAGTATAACAGAAACTAAAACAATTTCAAGCAGATCTTTTCAGCTGTTACTAAGAACATTAAACCAAAAAGATCAGACCATTAATCATGCAAGAGAACCCCAAATGAAATGGGACTTTGAGCACATCACCCCAACATTTATAATTGCCTTCATTCAGATTTAACTAAATTGCACTTTGAAATCCATCACCTCTTAAAAAAAAAAATATTGAGAAGCCCATTAGAACATTTTGAGAATTATTTGCGATTTTGACAGTGGAAAGAAATTGTGATTTTCCATTATACACTTACACATTGAGGGCTAAGAATTTAAAATATCAACCACCAGTGAAATGCCCCCCCACCCCCCCTGTAAAATGGTTTTGGCAAACAACCCCTCCCCCTTTAAAAAAAGTGGGATTACATCCAGGCTATCAGAGCTTTTATTGGTTTGAAATGCATAAATATTGTTTTCTTTATTTTTTTTAAAAATTATTTTGTGTTACCAATAATATACATCATAAAAACTATTTCCTTAGTTTTTGGGGGGTAACTCCAGTGTTGCAAGCCCTAAATAACACTAACAAAAAAATCTGGTAATTTCCTACATTTCGTAAAGGGAACAGATCTGTGCCAAGACTTTGAAGTAAAAAAAAAAGAGGAATTTTTGTTCCAGCAGCCATATATAAATGTATTTAATAATCTAAATCTGTAACCAAAAACTTGCATGTATATAAATAACACCGTGGAGATGTTTTGATGCTTGGTACTCATTTTTTAAATTTTACAATAAGAAGAAAGAAATCCATGAATAAATTTTGTATTGCAAAAATAGCGATTATTTAATTGAACTTTATATCCATGCAAAGTTGATGGGAAAAGAAAAGGTGCTTTGCGCAACAAAAATAATAAATTTATAAAAAACTACCTGAAACACGCCAACTATCCCCAACTCATGAGTTAATCCATGTCTTATTACCTACAGAGTTCTCTTGTCTAGTAAGTCCATCTCTACATCCCTACCACTGACCCCACTGGAAGCACAACATAAGTAACTCACGTGTATAGCCACTGCTGACAAACAACAGCAACCATGAGGAAAAATGCACAGAATTCAAAGATGGTGTCTCTGTCTAGATGCTGTCAAAGGGTAGACAAAAAAAGATGCATAAAGCAAAAAGATTTCTTAAAGTTATTAATGAAAGACGTTGTTACTTTCAAGCACTATCGGTAAGTAAATGAAATATTAAATTTTATGTCTATACTTTAATTATCTGTAACTGTATCGCAAATAAAACCTATCATCTGCGTGCATAGAAAAATATAAATTTTTATAAAAATTATTCAAAATTGAACTAAATAAGCAGATAAGGATGTGTTTGGTTGTAATTTAAAAAACCATCAAATTGCAGTCCAGTAAAATATTGGTTGAGATATGTTAAAATAGGAACAATTATAAAATAGGAATAAAGCAAACACCATGTATTTTATCATTGTGTCATATAGTTATTAAATCAAACTTGAGATATTTCATTATATCAAACTTGATATTTTTCATTATGTCTTATTTTCATTACATAACTGTTTGAGATATTTCATTGTCATATATCAATTACACCATACTTGATATGTTTCATTATTATGTCATATGTAAAGATTACATCAAACTTGATATATTTATTTCTCATATATTTATGAAATCAAACTTGATATATTTCATGATTGTGTCACATAATGACTACATCAACTTGAGGTATTCCATTATTGATTATACCAAACTTGATACTTTTCATTATTTCTTATATTGATTACATCAAACTTGATATATGTCATTAGTATGTCATATATTAATTACATCAAACTAAGACTTAAGATGAAAGGACATAAATATATTTTAGCTTTTCTCTGAGAAGCAACTAAATTCCTGATCAGGAAGTTGGATCACGGGTAATTAAATACAACACACACAAAAAAAAAACACACAAAAAAAACCACAAAAAAAAGCACGAGATCAAGGACAGGAAATTTCTAGTGCATTAAAAGATTTCTCACCTGAAGTAAAATGATCACAACTATCATGTTCAATGGAATGCGGAATATGTTCATGGTGGTGGCACGGGCTAGTATACAAGAATAAACAATTTTATTTATGGTAATTATTGCAATTACAGAGATCTATCGGCAATAATATTTTCTTTGTCACATATTTTATTGAGAGCATCTACAACAATATGTATGTTGTTGTATTTAACTGATAGCTAGAAGCACTTACTTTCCTCTGCCACATATTTCCCTCTCATTGTCCCCATGGATGGCCAGAAGATGCCAACACAAGTTTCAAACACCAGGAAACCAATAAAAATGATCAGTTGGTTCTGAAATAAATAAATTATTCAATAGTAACTTCAAGAGTACTGGACTTTAAGTCATGACAATTTAACCTACTTCAAATAAATTTAATTGAGATCTGTAAAATTATTTATATTTACTCCTTACAATTTTAATGGTTGCAAGTGTAAACAGTGAAATCTAGAAAAAAATAATTTGCACAAACTCCGTGTTTTGAAAACTTTCATTGTCCGGGACTATCATATAAAGTCATTAGATAAATGTAATTCAAAATTAGTTGGATGCACTATGTACACGTAAAAACCAAATAGGATCGTGAAACACAGCAAATAAACTCACCCCCTTAAAAAATATAGGAGTCATCAAACTGAGACCTGCCACAGCCAACACAAATCTGTTCAAGTAAGAAATAGAGATCAAAATATCTATAACATACTGATGATGCTTGGAAGAATTCAGTGACTGTAACATTAACATGAATTACTACTTACGTTGAAAATTTCCCTTAGTTATAAATAAGCATGATGAGGGTTAAAATATAAATCCAATTATTGAACACATAACATCAGATATAACCATTCACCATCTATCCCTCAGAGTTTCTCTAAGCCTAAATCACACACTGTGCAGCCCCAGCTCACCTCATAAAAGACTCCGCTGACGTGTATTTATTTAAAAGTTTAAACAAAGAAGATCCAATCATCAAAGACACCTGTTCAAGGAAATGGAAAACATGTACATTAACTTAATATTACAATTTCCAACTAATTTGAGGGATACAGATTTATACATCAGACACGAATGCAGCTTCAAAGTCTAGCTAAGTGTCGAACAAGAAATCTCTATGATCACAGAATAAAGACATGGTCCCATCAACCAGACAAGCATTACAGAAACACAGTTATTGGGCCCGCCTACTCCTAACTCTTTACCTTTAGATAACCATAACTATCAAAGCAATAGATCATAAGAATGCTTGTACTGCTCTGAAACTAGGTTCTTGTTCACACAGACTAACACATTCCTCAAGCCCTGGGAGTTCTTAACCAGGGCAGCCTGCAGTGTAGGGGGAGCGAGAAGGCCAACAAAATCAGGTTTATTAGCATTTTTATTGTGGGGGGTGCAGGAAATATATTTTAAATCAAGATGAGGTAGCTCATCATAAAATATTAAGAACCCCTGCCTTAGCCCATACTAACACAATTGATATAGCAAATATATCAATAATTGCCATAAATATGACTAATATATCAAAAGTGTGGCTAACATTAAAAATAAATCACTTCTTCTTTGCCTTTTCAACTCCTAGTCGATCATAGGCCTTAGGCCATTGAAAATTTCTTTCCAAGCCTTCTGGTCTCTAGTTAGAATATTATCACTAACTTACCATAAATGCAGCAAATATATGACCATGTGGGATATCTGTGTGCACCTCGTCTACGTCACTGGTCCCAACCTTGGACTTGTAAATAATACTAAGTGATGGTGTCCACTCTAGCACAAAACAGTACATAGCACCTTCAAACAGTGACTGGATCAAACCAAGGCAGAGGACTTTGTGATCTGAAAGAAGGCATTGGTAGTACTGGGAATTCTATGTCAATGGTAAAAAGAGAAACAAATCTTGAGTAGATTTTTTACAAAAAAGTTTGATAAAATAAAACTTTCATAAGACATTTTTTTTTTTAAATATTTTTTTTAAAAAGTTTGGTACATAGAATGTTAAGTCAATAGCAAAATATAATTATAAATATGAAAATAAAAGTGAAGGAAATAAAACAAAAAAACTACTGAAATTATCTTGGCAATGATCCAAAGCTGGAAATTAATAGCTCATTAAAATGTCATTTGGCTCTAATAGATCCATTGCTAGATGCATGTGTCGAGTATGAGCGTTCATTAGTAATTGTTGCGACTCAATATTATGTTCATTAGTTGTTGAACGCTTTTCCCGCGCTTGACTATTATAGTTAGTGAACGCTCTTCCCACCATTGTCTCTATGACATATTTTTATGCTGATTCGTGACGTATTGTCTATGCAGTATTGTGACGTATGTTTTAGTCGTGCGGCAGTCTTGAGTGGAACTTTGGAGTGATAGGATGTGTATTATTTAGGTCTGATAGCGAGCTGCGCTATATTCAAGTGTTATGTGTATTATATTTACTTATACATTAAAGTTATAGTTATCATAAAAAGGAGTTGAGTTTGTTCGATGATAGTGAGAATAGTACGACGCTTCAACGTGTGAAAAGAACTTGACGAATGTAATCAATCCAAGAAGACTATAGGAGTTGACAGCATGCATGCAGTGAATCAAATGTTGAGTGGATAAGTACCTTGTCTGATGGCATTTAGTGCTGTTCCAAAAGAATGAGAGATGTTACTAGTTTTATCCCCATAGTTCTCTGTCCAAGTCATGGTGATTATGATGACCATCAAAGTAAGCACCACCAAGGAAACATCAAAAGGAGCCCTTAAGCACAAGTAAAACAAGTCTATGAAACAGAAGATTAACCAATGCATTCTATGGAGTACATTTTCATTCATCTACTTTAATCTGACAATTACATAAAGTGATAACCTAAAAATATGCTTCCTATTCCATGTGTTTGGATGATTTCAAGGAAATTATCCCAGGATGTATTCTTAAAGGTCAGTAAGGTTGTTCTTAGTTTCTCCAATTAGCATTTAAACTTACACTAATCTAAACTATTGCATAAAGTAAAATAATAATCAGCTCATGTTGCAGGCAGTTTCCATGCACTTACACAAATCCAAATGCATCAGCAAACCTCTGGGCTATTAAACCAGCTATAATAGCGACAACAGAGTTGCCAAGAACACCCAAGCTAAAGATGTTTCCCAGCAAGCTGCTGTCAAAGCCTCTCTGGGTAAAGAAAAAACAAATGTATGCTCATTTTTAATACTATGCAAGGAAGCACGTCACAAGACCCTTCAGTTAATATAAATTTGAAATAAATCGACATTCATTGCATAGGATTATAACTTTACAATGCATTCACACTGTACCTTATTATGTTCATAGACAAGCCAGGACTCAAAGGCACTATACAATATGGATGTGGCTGTGCCACCTAGGAGGCGACCAATCATTAAGATCCAGAAATTACCAAAATGCTGAAAATGACAAAAAGAAACGTCTGAGAATGATCCCTGTCAAACAATTAACAAGAAAGTTGATATTACTCAATTTGTTTCATGTAAAAATAGTACAGCTGTAACTTACCTTGGTGATGCAGGCAGCACCATATAAGACACCATACAGCATACAATTTGTTCTTCTGCCACTAAAAAATTGAAAAATAAATTGCTTTATATTATGACTTTATTTTCAATATTTTAATAATGTTACATCTATTCTCTATAAATAAGAAAACAATTACAGGATTATTTTACCCTTGAAAGTTATGCTATTTAATAAGTGTGATACAGTAATTTATTGATTTTTTATGATATGGTTTTTATGATATCCCCAAAAGCTATAAAAATTTTTACTCCCATTCTTAAAAAATTAGTGAAACTTTGATAATATTATAGCAGGAGTGACGATGACTGAACGCCTCTAAGCCAGAGTCCCGGACCACTGAGGCCACTCGGAGGTGTCACATGGGGTTTGCCTCTTCGTGGCATGCCTGACTAGTAGGGACATTCCCCTCCCAAAGCCAAAAACCCCAGCCACATGCATGACTTCCAACGCAACGGAAGTAATGCAATATCATGATTACTTGTTGCCTTTAATGTATATGAGGTCTGGGTGGCGGTTAAAACCCATACCGATGATTTTAGCTACGCGGCCCTGAGAAAGCTGCACCTAGACAACCGTTTCATCCCAGCTTTCGTCCCGACCGGACAACTCCCTGGACGGTGGGGGGAGGTAATGCAACACATTTACCCCGGAGAGGAAGCAAAGCCGTTCAGACCCAAGGAGAGTGGACCGCGATTGCTTTAAACGCAGCATTTTCAGTCGACCAGACGTCCCCCAGGCCAGGTGGGGGGTAGGTTCCAGACGTGCTTCAGCACAGTCTGGGTGTGGGGAGACCCGGCGTTGACCTGTGTGGGGGGTGTATTATGAGCTCGCGCTCGACGACCCATCCGCGCCATCTCCATTGTGACTTTATTAGATAATAGTATAGTGCTGAAAACCAAAATTGATTTACATTCAATTGTCCCGTTATAAAAAGATTGGAGCTATTCATTTCAATCATTATATGATTTCTTTATACATTTATATATTTCAGCAATGATCTATTTTATATTTTGTTACTAAATATCATATATTCATAATCAAACATAGTCTATGTAATAGTATTCCTTTTAAAATTCTTCCTATAATCAGACTACTGAATGTCAAACTGATTCACAGAATATTGATTAATGTAAAGCCACTGAAAATCAATATTTTTAACACAAAGATTTCAATTAAAGCCAAGGCTGACATTAAGGTTGTAACATTCTCACAATAACAGGCTCACTTCACAAGATTTTTCAGTCAGATTTTTTTATCAATCAGTACTAAGAAAATTTTGTTTAAAAATAGCCTGTTTGGATTGAAATATTGATTTATTGAAGTTCTGGCTTTTTACATATCCCTGAAAGATAACTAGGTTATATATTTTTTGTTTACAATGGGGCAATACTTATTAAAGCAACATACTATTTATCAGCAATAGATCCCACAAGTGTTCCTACTATCATGCTTGATCCAAATCCTGCCACAAACAAGATATCAATCTGTTCAGTTGTCATCCCATAACTTTCATACAAGGCATAGACATGAGGTCCCTGTAGCCAGTCCCCACCTGAAAAAGTTGCATTCAATCAGACATTAGATTTCATTTCATTGCGTTTATATGCAGGAACTGAATAGTAGATTAACATATTTTAATAAAGAACTACACGTCTTCAAAATTTAAAAAAAACATTTTGGAGTCAGAATAACTTACTTCTTTAGCAAATTTCATGTTGAAATAAGCACATACACTAAGTGACTTAAATGTACAGACTTCAACAAGAAATATGTTAAAGTATTTCTTAAAACAAAGTCTTACCCATTGCGAGGAGGTATACGACAAGGTATGTTCGTTGAAAGACACTAAAGGCAGCATCTGTAACAGCAGGGAGTGCAGCTCTAGTTGCAAGGTATAAAAGAGCACACAAAATAGTCAAGACATAAAATCCACCCAAAAAAATGTCCATGGTAAAGGTTTGCACAGCTCTGACAGTCACGCTTGGTTGAAAACAACTCCAGTAGGTGTCTTTCACTGGAATTCAGGGAAATTTTTTTTTATCAGATTATTGAATTTTTAAGATAAAAATTAACAGGAGTAGTATAAATAGAAGAACAGAAGTATTGCACTCTTCTACACCAATTTAATTAGCTGTATTTCAGTTGAGCAAATTGTACCTGACATTTTTAACTCATCATTTTCTTATTTTCTTTTAAACATATAACATTACGCTAAGTTGATTTTCTCTACCACCTGAAGCTCTAATGCCTTAAGATTCTAACTGACAATGTCACTAGCCCAGTAATTTTGCTACTCTTAATATTTTAAGAAGTAGCTGTATAATACATACAAGTTTAAAATTTGAAAGAAAAAGGGTGGGATAAATCTTAAGGCAGTCAAAATTGGAATGAATACTGCATTCAATCATTGAATTTTCTTTGCCTACTATGGTGATAAACAAGCTTTGAGGGATTTTAGATTTATGGCCACATGAAACATATCCACTTACTAATTTCAAAGCTAATTGTATTTTCAAATTTTTGTTCACCTTTTTATATTACATAAAACTAAAGTAATACAAAATATTAACACAATCTTTGGCTTTACTATAAAATGTATTTAAAACCAAATAAATAAAATATAAATCCCCATGTCCATGTTGCTGAACAAAAAAAAAATATGTAAAAGAACTTCATTATTATAATAAACTTAAAATTATTCACTTTTAAAGTTTAAAATTGATTTTTATCAAAATTGTATTTTTCTGTTGTTTTGTAACGTAGAATTCTAAAATCTCAGTGCTAATATAAAAGCTAGAGCAATAAAATTTGGTGGGTATCTTCCTTTTAACTATTTTGTGGGTAATGAGCTATACAAAAGTCAATTTGGTCAATTTCTTTTTTTTAAATATTTTTTTTTATTTTCCTAGGATTGTAAATTTTTAAGCGTGTTCTGCCGAGACAAATTTTAAAAATTAAAATTTTTTTTGTTGAAAAGTTTGAAGGAAATTAAACTAGTTCAGTACCTCTAAATATACTTGAAGTTCATGAATCAATCATTTTTTAAAGCAATATGTATGTTTGTTTTTAAAATTTTAGAACTCTACGAATGGGTATTATTTTCAAGGTGGCCGCCGTTGCTATGGCAATTATATATATATATATAAAAAATTTAAACCATGAAAATATATCCCCATTCATAGCTAAATATGACCATAGTAAAATAGTTGCTCTAAGTTGATTGATTAAAAAAAAAAATTTTTTTGGCAGCCTACCCCCCTTAAGTACTTACAGAAAGCGTACACAGGGTCTCTGAATTTCTTTTGTACAGGATTTTGTTATTTTAGAAAAGCATATCAAAATGCTGAAAATGGGTAGTAATAGGTTAACTGTAAGCAAAGGGGTGGTGATGTCTTCCACTCAGCCCAATGATATTATAGTGGTCCCAAGAAATACAGAACACCTTAGCAATGCCAGAGCCAAGGCTGAGGACCCTGAGGTCATCAAGAAATGGTTTGAATTGCTCAAGAGGACTTTGCAAGATGCTGGAATTAGCGGCCTACCAAGTCAAATAATCAACTGCGAAGAAACGGGTTTCGTCACTGACTCGAAGACCCAAGTTATGTTAGCACAAAAAGGTGCTGCTGGGTTACCCAGAGCATAGGTGGCTCAGGAGGTGAGTAAGTTACTGTAAATTGTGCATGCTCCGCAAGCTGCCAGGTACTGTCACCTTGTGGTGTACAATGGAAAAAATCTGTACTGCGACTGGGTACGGGGTGGCGCTGATGGAGCTGCCTACACATCAAGTAAGAAGGGCTGGATGGAATCACCACAGTTTTTGGACTGGTTTCACAACATTTTTCTAAAGAACACAAAGCATATTGAAAGCCACCCCGAGCCCTCATATTTGATAGACATGCCTCACATGTGAGCTTGCCTCTTATTGAGTCTGCAAAAAATAACCGTGTCATCCTCCTATGCCTGCCCTCTCATCCAACCCATCTTTTTCAACCACTGGATACATCAGTGTTCCGGCCAGTGAAAATCAAGTGGCAGAGCCTGCTGTTGAAAAATACAAGAACACACTTGGGCCAGTATCAAAGAAAACTTTTCCTGGCCTGTTGCGCACCCTCTTCCAAAGTACTTTCACAGTAGAGTGAGTGAAGAATAGTTTCAGGGGAAATGGCATTTTCCCTCTAAACAAGGATGCTATTGACACAAGCTTGTGAGTATTGCCTACAACTTATGTGAAATGTATGCATAATTTTTTTTCAACCTTTTTTCACTATAAGGCTTTAAATTTTGTTTATTAAAACTTTTGTACTTAAAGTAAGATGTGTTGTGAATTTAAAAATATTTATTTCAAAGGGAAAAACAAAAAGTTCTTGAAATGGAGCTTTAGCTTAATGAGCTCCCCCCCCCCCTCCGCACCTAATTTAAAACTTTAAAAAAAAGGAAACTCTAGTAAAGCCAAGAATAAACAAACAAAATGGAGAAAATCCTAGTAATTCTACATTGAAACTGAAACTCATTGTGGCGCCACCACCGCAACATTTGCGTGGGAAAGTTATCACCCTCAGTTGAGTGTTGGGTTCCCCAAAGTGACATCAATGCGCTAAGGTGAGATAACTCTTTGCAAAACCCATACACCTAACCTAATCACTACCGATAAAGATATGTTACTGGTAACCTAGGTAAAGGTATAAAACTAAAACAGTGAATTGAAGTAGTGCAGTCACTGCACACAGTCACACAGGCCAACGCCAACACTCAGTAAAACATTTTGCGACTAACTTAGTGTAGGCAAAAATAAATTACCTGTTTCAGGATTTCAAATAATAATTGTGTACATTCTTCCACAATGATAACTTGTAACGTGAGAATATTACCCATTAATAACTAAACTCATTAGAATAAAAACTATTAAATAGGGCAGTTGTTTTTGTTGTGGTGTCGTCGACAAAAAATCCGGAAGTCGACACCCGGATGTTAATAGATCAAATATTTTCGCATTTATTATAAGAAAAAAATTCAACAATATAATTATATTTCATTAATTATTTATTGTAGTCAGAAACTTTATAACCACATATTACCAGCATTTAAATAACTTAAACTTAAAGCACGGAATATTTTTTTTTCAAAATATGGCAAACATTTAGGGTAAAGGGTGATTATGAATGTAGGGGGGCAAATCTCTCATGGAGGTGATCATAAATAACGTCATCGAAATAGCAATTGGGACCCTGTGAGAATAGAGTGACAATCTTGATACCAGTACTTACAGGGCCGGCTCAATGTGGGTACGATACGTGATCCTCACACAGGCACCGAGGAGCTCAAACTGGCAAAATTTGCTAAAATAAAAAATGAAATAAAATTCTGAACTCTTTCAATAATTTTCCAGAGGTGGACAATTGCCTATTTTCACCCAACCTAAAAATGTCTAGCGCCGGCCCTGGGTACTTAAGTGGATTTGGGGGGAGGGGGGCAATAAATTGACAACAATTCTTGTTTCATATGATATTATTTAAAAAATAAAAGCATAACTGGACAGTTTTAAAATATTAATTGATATAAGAAGTCTTAAAATAAGAAAATAAAAAATAGTCAGAACACCACCGTCGATGAGTTCTTGGGCCTTAGAAATAACCATATTCTCCTCAACAAACAGAATGCCGCCCATTCGAGTGGCTTCCTAAAGACAGAGAGAAGTGGTGGCTATTATTGCATTCAGTGAAAATGCTAGGGTTTTAAACTCTGAATTTTGAGACTAGAAAACGATAATGTCAGCCGGTTCCATAAGAGTATTGCAATGATACATTAATAATTTGCTATAAGCTATTGTAAAACATTTGGCCAATCAACTTCAAGATGGAGGCTGATAGAAAAAAACAACAATCAACAACTATCTAACAACCTGTTTAACGGGGGGGGGGGGGGGGGGGAATTGCTAAATAGTTTCGTACCAATACAATGGCAGGGTTTTCATCACTAAATTACGCGCCCCATAATGCAGTGCCGTGTGCAGGGGGTGCGAAGGGGTGGCCCGCCCCGAGCGGTACTTTATAATTGAAGGGGTGCCATTTTCTATCAATTGCAGGGATTCTTTCGTGGGAGAGGGTGGCAAAAACTTGACCCAACCATGGCGGATCTTACCCTAACTACGCCACTCTCATAATGTCACATTAGCTACGCCATTGCCATAATGTCACATTAGCTACGTCACTACCATAATGTCACATTAGCTACGTCACTGCCATAATGTCACATTAGCTACGCCATTGCCATAATGTCACATTAGCTACGCCACTGCCATAATGTCACATTAGCTACGCCAGTGCCATAATGTCACATTAGCTACGCCACTGCCATAATGTCACATATGCTACGCCACTGCCATAATGTCCCATTAGGTACACCCTTGCCATAATGTCACATTAGCTACGCCACTGCCATAATGTCCCATTAGGTACGCTCTTGCCATAATGTCACATTAGCTACGCCCCTGCCATAATGTCACATTAGCTACGCCATTGCCATAATGTCACATTAGCTACGCCACTGCCATAATGTCACATTAGCTACGTCACTGCCATAATGTCACATTAGCTACGCCCTTGCCATACTGTCACATTAGCTACGCCACTGCCATAATGTCACATATGCTACGCCACTGCCATAATGTCACATTAGCTACGCCAGTGCCATAATGTCACATTAGCTACGTCACTGCCATAATGACCTATTAGCTACGTCACTGCCATAATGTCACATTAGCTACGTCACTGCCATAATGTCACATTAGCTGCGCCATTGCCATAATGTCACATTAGCTACGCCACTGCCATAATGTCACATTAGCTAAGCCACTGCCATAATGTCCCATTAGCTACGCCCTTGCCATAATGTCACATTAGCTACGCCACTGCCATAATGTCCCATTAGGTACGCCCTTGCCATAATGTCACATTAGCTACGCCACTGCCATAATGTCACATTAGCTACGCCACTGCCATAATGTCACATTAGCTACGCCACTGCCATAATGTCACATTAGCTACGCCACTGCCATAATGTCACATATGCTACGCCACTGCCATAATGTCCCATTAGGTACGCCCTTGCCATAATGTCAAATTATCAGCATCTGATTGTGAAATGTACCTTCAGATTAGTGAGAGACAGAATAATGCCTACCCAGAGGACATAAATCTCCATTAGCGTCTCTTCTGTTGAGTATCCAAATAAAGTGTAGATCAAAAGTAATCAAGGTCTGCGTGGAAATCTTATCATGAAGTTGAATTTATCAAGCTTACTGACCCTCCAACCCCGCTTTTATAACACCTTTGTGGTGGGAACCTTTCATATCCTTGATATGCCCCCCAACCCCATACACTGGTACTAGGTATAGAATTGGTAAATTTTAGAGACAGTCCGGCGAAATAAGACCAACACTATAGGCCTATATCAAGCCCGAAAGAAATACAGGTTTTCATGTTCCCCCCCCCCGAAAATCTGAAATGCCTCCAGGGACAAAATTTCTGAAAGAAACACCGATCCTTAGACTTTTCTAAACAAAAGTCAGATACCATTGTTTGTGATTTCTTCTTGCTTTCTCTAAATGCATATAAGTAGGAACAAAAAATAATTATACACAGATGACGATGCCACGCAATCAACTAAAACCACGTACAGGATTTTGCTCCATCTCTGCGTTGTTCGTCCTTCGCATGCACAAATGACCAAGGTTATATTCGACGGTGAGTATGCAGGTGGCTTGCCAGTCTTATTTCTGCCGCATGTAGATTACGCACGAGTTTTGGGGTCCAAGGGGAATTTGAGGGGCTTCTGCTTCTCATTGTTGTGCGCGTTCCTTGGGCATGAGTGGTGCGTTTACTTCCTGAAGATTGCGTTCCAACAGTGAGTCTGCCTCGCCAAATAGTACAATCCATAGCAAGTGTTCCCGTGAATTTAGGTCGATGTTCATAGGTGGCAATGAAGTTTTTAAACAATATTTAATCAAGCTTTTTCCCCCGTGTCCGGAAATTTGTCTGAAAGAAATTTCGTCGACGGAAAATTGATCGACGGAAGTTTGGTCGAACGAAAATTTGTTTTACTATATAATATTGGGCGTTAAATTTGGCGTAAATTAGATAGTGTGAAGAGAGAAAAAAATTCGATCAAATTTTCGCTAACGATTTTGATTTAATAATAAGTGATGGAAATGAAACTTGCACTAATAGTAAAAATTAGTACGATAAATCTTTTTTTGTTTAAAATTGTATGGACTTTAAAAATAATAAAATTCATTTGTATCTAGCTCAACATGCGTGCAATCGACCACATTTAAAACTATACTACTATTATGCTACTATGCATTGTATTTTTTAAAGAAAGATGACGTTATAATGTTTATAAGTTATTTTTTTAAGGCTCACACCCCTCTTTATTGTAAACTTTGATGGAATTTTTATTAGAAATAGAAATTTTAAACTAAATTCAAACATTGTGTAACGAATATTGAATATAATTATAACACTTCAAATCAACATGTTGAATAATCATCTTTTATTAGATGAAACAGCACGGACAAAGTACAACCAATAACAGAATCTCACAACAGAGAACAGCCATTAAAATAATCAGTCTAAATTGTCCTGATATCTGATGTAGGCCTACAGCAGCGGCTCCCAACCTGTAGCATCAAAGGGTCACATAGAGAAACATTCATATAAACAAAGTAATACATAATGTGATGTTGTACTTTCAATGTGACCTTCATAATTGGCTGAAGATCCTTGATTAAAATTTTTACATCATTCACATATCATTTAGATCTATTTGACTTGAAATTATTGTAATCCAGAGCTATGTAATCAAGATCTTTGTAATTCAGATCTATGCAATTCAGATCTATGTAATTCAGATCTATGTAATTCAGATCTATGTAATTCAGATCTATGTAATTCAGATCTATGTAATTCAGATCTATGTAATTCAGATCTATGTAATTCAGATCTATGTAATTCAGATCTATGTAATTCAGATCTATGTAATTCAGATCTACTGAACAATAAATGTTTCAGGATGAAACCATTAAAAACAACAACTTACAACTGAAGAAGAACGTGCCCATACTTTGCACAACTTGAAAATCATGATCACTACATAGTTACATCGGGAAGATGTGAAACAAAATACCACATGAAAGTAAAAAACGGACTACTAAATCGAACTATGAAACTAACATTTTTAATTTTAAAGTGATCTGACATGACAGAGAATAATGTTTCTGTTATTCAGAGCAAAAAGTTTTAGTGTCATCTTTTGGGATACATAGAACAAGGGGAAGAGATTTTTAAAAATGCTATAGTATCTCCTATCTTCAGGGTTTATCCCTACCCGGTGTATATTTCTTCACAAATTTGTAGCGGGATTCTGTCAAAAGGTGCTCTGTAGTAATTGTTTTTCCTTTACAGATCTTTTATCAAAACATTTAAAAAAACAAACTTAGTAACTTTAAAATTAAGGCAAACTCTAGGATAACTGGTGGTGACCTGAGTTTGAGATGATTGTAGCAATAATAATCGAAACAAGGTCCTTGAACTTTTTCTGTGAAACTTGATGTTCTACAGCTGAGACCTGATTGTGTCAGCCCCAGCCCATCACCATGAAACTGTTTGTTACTTTACAAGATGGAGGATGAAACCATCAACAAACACAGGCAATGGTGGTGGACGAAGCAGTCCAGTAGTTGATGTCCAACGGTGGTGGACGAAGCAGTCCAGTAGTTGATGTCCAATGGTGGTGGACGAAGCAGTCCAGTAGTTGATGTCCAACGGTGGTGGACGAAGCAGTCCAGTAGTTGGTGTCCAACGGTGGTGGACGAAGCAGTCCAGTAGTTGGTGTCCAACGGTGGTGGACGAAGCAGTCCAGTAGTTGATGTCCAATGGTGGTGGACGAAGCAGTCCAGTAGTTGATC